CACAAATGATTTAATGTATTTAACCATTGTTGAGTTCATTAGGGATATTCAAATGGTTAATTCGGTAATTGATCAAACCGAATTTTCATTAACCGAATTAATCAGATTTTTTCGTTAACCATTAACAGAACTGAACTTGTTTTTGAAAATATTAATCGAACTGAACAAAGTTCGGTTATTTCGGCTGGTTAACTGAATTAACCGATTTTTTTAATTAGAATAATTTGAATATAATAGAAGTATTTTTTTTACTTGAGTTAAAATTTTAATTAGGTATTGATAATTTAATGAGTTTAGTGTGGTTAAAAATAATTAAGTCTTAATTCTTAATGAGTTTGAGCTTAAAATATGTATTTAATATATATATATATATATATATATAATATTTCATATTTAATAATTTCGGTTAATTTGGTTAATTAACCGATTTCGAATCGAATTAACTGTTAACCTAATATTGAAAAAATGTTAACTGTTCCAAGACCAAAGTAATTCTATGGCTGACCAAATTAACCAAACTAATTCGATTCAATTGATTAATTCGGTTAAAATCGAAAAATGAACACCCTAGAGTTTACACAAATTTTCAAGATAAATGAGTTCTATGTATATTTTTGTGTTGTTTCATGCGATGACTGATGTTCATTTATGAGAAGAAACTCTTTACTGATATATGTAATATTTTCGTCTATCTTAGAATAAGATATTTTTAATTTAATATAACTTAATTTGTAATCGTATTTTCTTATGGCTTTCTCTCTATTTTATTTGTAGTGACTTTACCAGATAATGAATTGAATTTGAGAAAAACATTGATTGTGAAATTTAAGAATATATATTTTGAATTTCTTCAAAATTAATAAAATACCTACTTCCATAAATGCAAGAAACCCGATTTTCCCGCTTTAAAACCATAGTGTAAATTTAGGATAAACTATTACATGAATTGATACTATTAAATGAAAATTTCTACAACGTTAGTCGAGCATGGATGAACACCGTTAACGATAAACATTATTAAATTAATTTATAAAATATTAAATTATAAAGTATTAAATGAATAAATACAAATTAGTTAAAAATATAAATGTAATTTAATTAAAATAAAATATTTGTAAAACATTAATTTATAGGGTAAAGAATACCATTGACCACATTACTACTTTTACTTTAACCACCGATTTTTCAATTTTGTCAATCGAGTCACTTAACTATTTAAATATGGTCAATCAAGCCACCTTCCGTTAAATATTAAAAGAGCAGGTGATGTGGCAGTTAATAAAATTTGTATAATTACATATTTAGTCCTCGTTACTTGTACATTCTATTAATTTGGTCATAACTTTTAATTAATTCAATAAATTTAGTCATCAATCAGATAGTGACATGTGTTACTATGTGATTGACTGTTTTTTCATAATATTTTAATTTAATTTAATAAAATTTCATTCAATCAAATAGTGTCATGTGTCACAAATGGAATTAATAGAAAATAAATTGAATCAATAACTGCTACTGGTGGGTTTTGAACCAAAGACGTGAGAGAGGAAGCAAACGCTCCAACCACTGGACTGCACCATTCAAATAACAAACCCGTCTTGATATAATATATATAGTTAATGACGATAAAAAAAGGGGAAAATGACCTAATAAGAATGTCAACTTGGAATAATTTAATAATACGATAATATGATATATATATATATATATATATATATATATATATATATAACTAATTGATATGTGATTGTATTTTATTTATATTTTAAATCATTTTAATGAAAAAATAAAATTAATTTGAATATATTATAATTGAAATATAACAAAGAGCTTCGTTGACTTAGGATTTCTCTAATAGCTGAGGGCTTATCGTAGTAAGCATTTTAATTTATGCATTGACTTATTTATATCCTTGTTAGAGTAATAATTTTATATTTATTATTTATTCATTATATATTTGAAGAAAATTTTATGGGAACTTGATTTTATTGAATTAGTCTATTTTAATATAGAGTTGTTAAATAATATTTGAATCCGATCGATGTTATAATATTTTCAAAAATAACATATGATACATTTTAGTTCAATAAAATTAGAATAACGAAGAACATTTATTAATTTAAAATATGTAAAAAAATATTAAATTTACTTTTATTTTAATTTTTTCATAAATTGTGATTTTATTTATTTTAATTTATTAAAAATTATAATATTTGTTTATATATATTTTATATTTTCCTACTATTCACTTATTTCTTGTTTGAGTCCTTATAAGGTCATTTATTATCATTAACTATATTATAAATTGTATAAATTATGTTCTATATATTAGAAAATTTTAGTGGTCTAGCTTAGTGGTTAGGACGCTTAATTTTTTGGGTTGCGTCCTTGGTTCAAACCCCACCAGTAACGGTTATTGATTTAATTTATTTTCCATTCATTCAATTGGTAACACGTGACACCATTTGATTGGATGAAAATTTTATTAAATAAAAAATATTAAAAAACATCCTATCACATACTCACACATGTCACCATCGTATTGAGGATTAAATTTATTGAATTAAATAAAAGTTATGACCAAATTAATAGAATGTGTAAGTAATAAGGACTAAATGTGTAATTATATAAATTTATTAATTGTCACGTCATCTTTCATTAATATTAACGACAAGTGGTTTGATTGACAAGATTTAAATAGTTAGGTGACCCAATTAATAAAATTGAAAAATCAGTGGTTAAAGTAAAATGAATAAATAGTTAGGTGGTCAATGATATAGTTTACCCTAAAAATTAATATTTTATAAATATTATATTTTAATTAAATTACATTTAGATTTTTAACTAATTTATAGTTACATGTTTAATAATTTATAATTTAACGTTTTATAAATTAATTTAATATTGTTTATCGTTAATCGTGTCAAACGACAACTTTATCCCTATTAAATTATTTTATACCATCAATCGATAAATTAATAATTCAAGTATGGTTTAAACCACACTCATGCTTCTGCCAGAAGCTTATTCTAGTTTGGCGGTTTAGTTAAGCAGTCGACTGCAATATATTTCTCTCCTATTAAACATTAAAATCTAGGGTAATTATATTTTAGTACCTCAATTATTTTTTTTTCATTTTATATCTAAATTTTATTTGTTTCAAAACTATATATAACATTTAATTTAGGTTTTAATTTAATAATTACTATAATTATTGACATGACATTTTTAATTTTTTCATTGATGACATGACATTATCTTATGCTGACACATCAACATCACATTATGCTTTTAACGGAAAAATATCAAAATAAAATCTAAACTAAACGTTAGATATAATTTTAAAAAATAAAATAAAATTTAAATACCAAAACAAAACAAAAGTAATAGTTTAAGAATTAAACATGTAGTTTACCTAAATCTATCCATAAATACATCATCATTGATGATTTCAGTTACATATCATCATCCAGCCGTGCTTGACCGATTCTTTAGTGTATACCTTATTCATGGAAAATCGTGCACATAGAATCTTATCTTCCTTATATCTCTATAACCACTTCTGCATCATCATCCATTCGACAAAATCTGAATTTTAGCTGATATTGAGCTGTTGTGCCGTTAAAAAATCGTTGTCAATACATTGTTTTACTCAACTTTAGTTTCACACAGTAAGTAATTTGTTTAATGTCGGATTAGTTTTTTTTTTATTTGCTACAATTAAATTCGTTGTCAGTGTTAGGTTCCATCCAAAACATTAGAGTAAAATATAGCAACATTGTTTTCTTCATTTGACTGCAACTACTTTTTCTCTTCGCTGAACATGTTCTCTTACAAGAAGACATTTGGAAACAGTGTATATATATATATTCCAAGAAACTAATAGGCCGAGCAACAGTTGAATTGTTCCACGAAAACTAAGTACAAGATGCCCTTCGATTAGGTTTGATTTCATTTGTTTATTGTACCAGCGTTGGTGAGATCATTGCCAGCGAGGTTTCAACAGTACCACAATCGATGTCATATATATATTTGTTCATAAAAATAAGTTTTTTAAGTTTTTTTTAAAAACCCAGAAAATCTGACTAAACGGTAGCAGGGTAATGTGAGATTAGCTGCATTTTACTTGGATTTGCATGGTAGATGCTAAGGGTTCACGTGTCTCGTCTATATATATATATATGCTTTTGCAAGTGTTCCTGCTGTCAGAACTTAGTTTATGTGCTTGGACCGCAGTTTTACTATGTCAATGACAATTTATAGATCAGTTTAATTAAGCATTAATATTTAAGATACAAAAGCTTTGGCATGAGCTTTAACTTGTAGAATTTTATGTATCTGAAATTAATGAGGGACCATTTTTTTCCTGCAATTTTTGTTGTTGGTGATACTCTGGAAACTTTGTCTTCTGCAAATGACAGTTCAATTAGTAGGGTTGAAAGAACTCAGAAAAAGCTTTAAGATTTGGGACAAGAAAGCAAACACTTGCCATGTGACCCATGTGACTACAGTGTGGGGATGGGCATGCAAATGCAACTACAAGACATCGAGCACACAAGATAAACTCAGTTGCCTATGTACATCCAGTTCCTCGTTTCCCAACTCACTCATACTGTCCCTACGTGATGAGAAAATAAAGTTATGTCCTTTATAAAAAAAATGTACTTTACCAAACGTAAAAGATATGAACTTTGCAATCATCCATGGCAAAACCTCCGCACTCTCTGTAGCCTCTCGGTGGCCATGGCCCTTGGTTGCGAGCGCGACTCGTAGTATCGACTAGCTTTCTGGTTTTTCATTTTAAGTTTTTACTTCATTTCCCTTCCCCTAAACGTTATACTCCAATGTCCCTATCCATTTACCATATCCGTAATCTCCAGTCCCAAGCAACATCCGCCCCTTGTGCTCTCTCTCTTTTTGTTTTAATCAAGCCCAATAATTTACTTCGTAATTTCTGGCTCCAATATTGTCACACCTTCTTTTAGCAACTCCCTTCATTTTTCTTCATTACTCTTCTTTTTCTTTTGATTATTATATTTGTATGTTCCTTTTTTTCTGTCTCCTAAAAAGGAAAAAGATTTAGACTTGAGAGAGAGAGAGAGAGATGAGTGGGTTGTTTCGATCCAAATCTTGTGGATTCGTCGAAATCACAGAGTTCAGCCGTGCTACTCTGAGTCCATTCTTCCACCAAGCCAAAACCGATGACTATGAAGCCAGTGACGAAAAAGAAGAGGAAGAAGAGTTTGATGATGATGAAGAAGATGAACATGGGTATGATGGAAACCCCATTGCTACGACTCCGTTTATAAGCCCCAAGTCGAGATTCGGTGGTCGTAGTGGTCTGGGTCAAACCCGTAGTTCAACGGCAAAAGACAATAACCAGTTCCAGTTCCCTTTTCTGGATATTTTGGCGGCATTGTTAAGGAAATCGCTGGTCACGTGCAGCGTGGACACTGACGACGTGTCGTCCATGGATATTAGCTTGCCGACTGAAGTCAGACACGTCTCCCACGTGACTTTCGACCGCTTTAATGGTTTCCTCGGATTGCCTACTGAGCTCCAGCGTGATGTTCCGAGAAGGGTTCCCAGTGCCAGGTTTAGTTCTCAATTTTAGTTCAATTCAGTTTCTTTGATTGCTGGTTTAGAACTTTGTTCAATTTTCGAATTTATTAAAAAACCTTTTTACTTTTGCATACACGTGTGATATTAATTGGCAAATAAATTAGTAATTTTTCTTTAATTTCAACTGTTCTTGGAGGTGTATTTGTATGTTTGATTGTTATGTCCGACTTAATTCAGCCTTTCTCTTGTCTATCAAAGACGAGATTTTATGTCTTTGATTAAAGCTGTTCGAGAAAGGGACATTCCAACTACTTTTGCCATGTTAGATGAGGAAGCTGTTGTGGTTCTGCAATAAATTCTTCTTTTTCCTCAGAAAATTGTAGTCTTTGATTATGATCCTTTAAATGTGGCTTCTGGGTTTTTATCATTCTAACATACTTAAGCCTTGGCCATTTTCATGATCGAAGGATTATTTGGAGTAGTGATTGGCTTATATCCAGTGAAGATCATGTCATGTGTTCTAACAGATAAATTTGATTATTTGATGTGGAGTATTGGAGGATTAGCTCTTTCTGCAGATAACTTTGTTGTATATGGCGTATACTGTGGTATGGGCAAAGTTGCATAGTATAGTCTGGATACTGGCCCTTGTTTTCTCTTGAATTTAGCAAGTCATTCAAGATATCATGCAAACAACTTGTTAAGCAGAGTTGATCGGTAGTAGCATTTCTTTTGTTTAAACCGAAAAACCGTAAATACTCTGTTGTGTATGATTCTCTAAGAAACCGGATATTTATTTTGTTACTGGCCTTCTTCTTGCATGATTTTCTACTTTATTTAATACACCTTTTCGTATATTAACATGCAAGATGCATCTTTTCCATTGTCCAGTGTAAGTGTTTTCGGAGTTTCTGCCGCGTCAATGCAGTGTTGTTATGATGACCGAGGGAACAGTGTGCCAACTATTCTTCTTATGATGCAGAAGTGCTTGTATGCTGAAGGAGGCCTTAAGGTTAAGTCTAAGCCTATGCTTTGGACTAATGATTAAATTGTGTTCTAAACTGCTTGAGGTTTTGACAAAGATTGGTTATGTTGATTGAAGGCCGAAGGGATATTTCGGATTAATGCTGAGAATAGTCAAGAAGAGTATGTCCGAGAGAAGTTAAACAATGGTGTGGTACCATGTGGAATCGATGTCCATTGTTTGGCTGGTTTGATAAAGGTATACATGCTATATAATCAAGATTATGTTTTATCTTTCTCTTCCCCCATGATTTTGACTCGACTTATTACTCATCTTAGGACTCATTTTTCGAATTGACATTTTGCTTTCGTGCTACACTATTTCGATATTATTTCTCAGTCGGTGCCTTGAAATCTTTTGTAGGCATGGCTTAGAGAACTTCCTAGTGGAGTACTTGATTCCCTCACACCGGAGCAGGTGATGCACTGCAACACCGAGGATGACTGCACCGAGCTTGTGAAGTTACTTCCTCAAACAGAAGCTGCTCTCCTTGACTGGGCTATCAATCTGATGGCAGATGTTGTGCAGCATGAACAATACAACAAAATGAACGCACGCAACGTTGCCATGGTTTTTGCACCAAACATGACCCAGGTTTTCTTTTACTTTCCATTATTTCATCTCACGGTCTAATAAAATGTTAGGTGTCTAGCAGATTAATAGCGTGTCCCGCGACAAAACCATATAGGTCTAGGGGAGAGACACTGCGTGAGGTGAATTCGTTTTGAACACTAATTTTAGTCAAAATATAAATCACTCTATCTGGACCAGATGGCTGATCCTTTGACAGCATTGATTCATGCTGTGCAAGTAATGAACTTCCTCAAGACGCTGATCTTAAAGACACTTCGCAAAAGGGAGGAGTCAGCTTCCAAGGACAGGTTGCTGCCATCATATTCTCCTAATGGCATCATCGACATCAACGAGCAAGTTCCGGGTGCAAGTCCATCTAAGGAAGGTTCCACTGCTAAGCTTTTGAGGGCTGCCACAATGAGTAGACTGGAATGTGTCCCTGATGAGAAACTAAGGGGTTCTCAGACGGGTGATGGAGAAGAAGAATTTGAGTCTGTTTCAGGTAACAGCACGCCAAATGCATGCGAAATAAGGACTACTGAAAATGAATGTAGGGGTGGATCTGATAATAAGGAGCGGCTAAGTTTAAGAAAAGGTGTCCTGCGGCTATGCAGGCACCCCGTATTTCAGTTGAGGAAGTAGACTAAGAAAACCCGAAATATCGGGATTGTAAATACCAGAGGCAGTGGAGGAGAAGCTTGTGTTTGATACATCAGTACTATATCCCAAAATGTTGATATGTTTCTTCTCGGTCATGGAGGCGATTTCTGGTTGTGTATGCGAAATTTATAGCTTCTAAGATTTGTTTGGAAGTACTAACTGAAAGATGTAGATTAATCATATGCTTCTTAGTCTCCTTGCATTATCTTTCGTGATGTGCAATAATAGTGTTCAGAATTTGACAGAAACCATTGAATGATAAATGTACGAGTCCAAAGCTTCACCTGCAGTGAAAGTGCGAAGACACTTTGTTTTTTCATCCAGAGAAAGTAAAAGAAACAGAAACAAAATTCTTCCAAAAAGCTAGTAATCTTTGTCATTGAATCCTTCACCATTGTATTAGTTAGGTCCTTTCGTATGTTTAGTCATCAGTTTGAATGTTAAATATCCGCTCAAATAAAGCGTATTGCTTGAAATAACACGATCTGAAGAGTACTAAATCTAGTCCACAGGATTTTTTTTGGCTTGAAATAATTAAAGCAACAACTAATTACAATTATCTCAACAATTTAGACACACAACTTTGAATAATGTTTTGCTCAAATCAATCATTGTTCTATTCCTCGACATGGGTCAATTCTTAATAAAAGTACTCAAATGGGGACATGAATGAATAAGGGTATAAAACGAGAGCACCGACTCCGAGACTATATATATAGGGTGCAGGAGTAATCCTCGTGTTACTCATGTAAAGTTTTATACCTTTGGATCAAGAATCAATGTAGGGCTAAAATTACAACCTTTGGTGCCCTTTCACTATGAACAATTAATAAGATTACTAGAGCAAATAAGTAACTTATTTGGTGCCCTTTCAATATGAACAATTAATAGTTAATTCTAGGGTTACGTTTCTTTCGAAGTTAACTTATGGAATTAATGTAATGTGTGATATGCACTAAATTCTAAATGTTATTACAAATTCTGGCGAGTACAAAAGATGGAAGTGTAGCAAGAGTAGCCAATAAGTGATTTACATTTAGAATTTTATTTAAATATCATTTTAATCTTAATTGAATTATCTTTAAATTCGGTTAGAGGTCATGTCCCGAATCAAACATGCCTCAAAGTTATGTTTTATGTCTTTATGCAATACAATGATGAATATGAATGAACGTAAAATTTTATGTTAGATGTATAAAATTATAAAACCAATTAAAATTTTAAAATATGAAAATATTTTATTAATAAAATATAAAAATTAACATTAAAATATTTTAACCTTCTATCCATCCGGGATGAAGCTGTCCCCATAACCCAACTGACAAAAAGAGACAGTGATGTGTGGTAAACGACAAGGTCAACATTCATCAGTACGTCAATCAAACTCTGCATGCAATGCCATGTCATTGTGTACAATAAAATCATGCACCTCACTGAGAATGAATGAAGAGGATGGTTTAATGCACGTTTCTAAAAAACATAACTAATCAATTTTACCAGTTCACCAATTATTTCCACTGTAATTTCCATGGTTAATAAATTCTTTAAATAACCATTGGGATTAGTATTTAATTATTTCATGATTAATGAGTAGGAAAGCCAAGCAGCCGTTTTTAATTTACATTTTTCTTTGGTAGAGAAAGGAATATTATTATTTTAAAATGAAAGTTACATTAATGCGTCACAGGGTACATGACTACCACAGTTGCTTATCTCGAGTAATATTGATGTGATGTATGTGTATCATTTTTATTAATTTAATTTTATATTTTTATGCGATGCATGTGACATCATTGTTATAATTAATATATATACATTCATGCAGAATTACATGTTAGCGCAACACTTAACTGTTTTGACGGATATGTTTTCTGGTGATAAATACAAAAAAGGATCGCAAGTCTTAATCCATATGAAAATGTCATACAAAAAAGAGGGGTGTTATGCTTCCCCACCCTCGGTAAAAGCAACATCCCCACAAATTATTTCTAAATCATAGCTTATTATACGGTTAATATTTAATGTAATAATATACAATTTGATATTACAGATAATAAATTAATAGTATTATATTATCATTTAGTTAAATATAATATTAATTAAAAATAATTATAAATCTCAAATATAAACTGTAAAATAAAAATAAAAGATAAAAATCATATGCTTTATTGATTATACATAGATATTAATGCATAAAATATAAATGTCAAGTAAAAAACCGGTTAATTAGTTTCTCAATAGCTCTGCCTCTGTTGCATGTAGTTAATTTGTTAAGTAATAACCAGTTCATTTGCTATGAGCATCATAAATTGTCAAATTACGCAATTAATTTTTCGTGTCCGTTTTCAATCAAATTAAATGATTTAATTGCCTGAACATCTTACAATCACATCTTATCGTTAAGAAGAAAAAATTGACAATTTTCTTTTGTTCTTTTTTCTCTTAAATCATTTGTATAGTTTTTTTAATAATTTAAGACGGTAAGATTGGAACAAGAAGATATTAGTGTTATTTAATCACTAAAATAATAAAATTATCAATAAATTATACGTTATAATTTTTGGCGGCACATAGCAAGATCATACACCCAAAGGCCTAACGTTTCAGTCGTCGCACTCACATACAGTTGAAAGTTGAAATCCTTTTACGTTAACTAGGCTGTAGATAAGACATGTAGATCCGGAGTTATTTGAGATTTATTTAATTAAAATTTAAAATTATTTTTAATGAATGGAGACACATTGTAAACTATTTAAAATAAATTTAATCAAAGTTCGATCAATATTCAAAATTATTTTTAATGAGAAGAGACAAATCTTGAAATATTAGATATTGAGATTAGAGATAGTAAACGGGTATAATTTTGTGGATTTCTCACCGTATCCGTTTCAGTTGGGACTGGGATGGGTATAACTTTAATAGATAGTGGACGGGTGATGAGTTTGAGACTTTATCTGCCCCACATCCGCCTGCCCCACATCCGGTTGGCCTACTAAATACCCATTAAATTTTTTACCATTATGAATTTAAGTATAATTTTAGAGACTAATTTATAAATCTTAATATTGTATAAGATATAACTTATAATTTAATCAAATATTAGGGATAATTTTATGAATCATTTTTTTGTTTCAAACCTCTCGTGCTTTGTTTGATGGTTACTGTGCCGATACTTAGGTCAAACTCAGAGTTCTTATTCTCTAAGTTTCAAACTCTAGTATCCTGCTCATTCAGGTATGCCTTCTTCCTCTTCCTTACTCTGGTCTTCTCTACGGGTAGTATGTTATTATGTCAGTCGCATGTTTGTTTTATGTTTGTTGCTTATGTATAACTTAAGGTTACTGTCATGTGAGTTTAGTCGGGTACGTCTCCAGTTAGGTAGTGAGTGTGAGGATATATTTTAGAATGTATCCGCGTGGACGGGTGTGGATTTAAAAAATTTTACCTAATGGACGGATGGTGAATTTAAAAATATGCGATGTGTATAGGAATAAGGGAGGGAGTATCCACATCTAACCCGCCTGTTTATCATCCCTAATTAGATTAATTCTACCGAAATTCAAGCAGTAAAAATACATTTTTATCTAATTTTTTTTTAATGAAATTATAAATTAAAATGAAAAGAGTGAGGAGGAGTCGACAGCCATCAATCAGTAGTCACTCGCTATCAAATTCACGTGGTTGTGGTGCGCAATAGTGACGCACCTAATAGCCTAAATTCGGACAGTTTGTTCCCCATCTACACCCAACTTAAGCTTCTGCACTGCTCTTATAAACCCAACACCCTCCCACCTATTTTCCATTCGATTCCTCCCCACTCTCTCTCTCTCTTTTGTTTTTTACAATAAAACAATTTAGATCAGCCATGGATGACCTAATAATCTCTCCATCTTCATCTTCTTCACTGGTTTCTTTTTCCCAGGAAACTCCACCTTCAACTCTCCAGCAGAGGCTTCAACTTATGATCCAGAGCCAGCAAGACTTGTGGGCGTATGCTGTATTTTGGCAGACATTGAATGATGATCTTGGTCGTTTGTTCTTGGCTTGGGGAGAAGGTTATCTTCAATGCACCAATGATACGTCTCCGAAGCTGACTTCCAATATTGTTCATAGTCGAAGAAAGGTGATGAAGGGAATCCAAGCGCTCATCGGGGACAATCAAGACATCGATATGTCGATGATAGACGGAACCGATATCACCGATGTTGAATGGTTTTATATGATGTCGATGACTCAGTCTTTCTCTGCCTGCGATGGGATTCCAGGCAAGGCTCTTAGTACTAGGTCTTTGGTTTGGTTAACCGGTGCTCATGAGTTGCAGTTTTACAATTGTGAAAGAGCTCGAGAAGCACAAATGCATGGCGTTGAAACACTGGTTTGTATACCAACTTCTTGTGGTATTGTTGAGTTAGGATCCTCGGAAGTGATCAGGGAAAACTGGGGTTTAGTCCAGCAAGTGAAATCCCTATTCGGATCCGATCTTATTAAACAATCAAATACGAATCTAACCCCAGGTCCGATCCAGTTCCTTGATAGAAACATCTCTTTTGCAGACATCGGCATAATAGCCGGTGTTCAAGAAGAAGATGATGCAAGCCCGGACATTAAAACAAAGCGAGAAAGCAACACTCAAACCAAGAAAGATTCCTCAAAGCTCGGGCAACTTTCGTACGCTGATTCAGAGCATTCAGATTCTGATTTTCCATTACTTGACATGAACAAAGTAGAGAAGAGAGCCCCAAAGAAACGAGGAAGGAAACCCGGGCTCGGACGAGAGACACCGTTGAACCACGTGGAAGCCGAGAGGCAACGCCGTGAGAAGCTGAACCTCAGGTTCTACGCTCTCCGAGCCGTAGTCCCGAACGTGTCGCGCATGGACAAAGCATCGCTCTTATCTGACGCTGTCTCGTACATCAACGAGTTAAAGGCGAAGATCGAAGAACTCGAGTCGCAGCTTCAGAGAGAATGTAAGAAAGTGAAGGTAGAAATGGTCGATAACACCATGGATAACCAAAGCACCACCACCAGTTCCGAGGAACAAGCAATGAGGCCAAGCGATTCATCATCCGGAACTGGAACAGGTGGATCCGGTGAGCTTGAACTCAATGTCAAGATCACGGGAAACGACGCAATGATCAGGGTTCAATCAGAGAATGTGAACTATCCAGCTGCTAGGTTAATGGGTGCTCTTCGAGACCTGGAATTCCAGCTCCATCATGCAAGCATGTCGTGTATTAACGACCTAATGCTTCAGGATATTGTCGTTGGGGTTCCTGGTGGATTGAGAAGCGACGAAGACCTAAAATCTGCTCTTAGAAGGAGGCTAGATCAGCAGTAAGGTTTAATTAAGGCTATGAATTATATTCATTTTCAATATTTGCTGGTTTTATCTGCTTTTATCTACGTCATTTTGTATTTTTTCTTCTTCGATTTTTCTTAATAATTTAAGGATGATTAAAAAAAATATCTATTCAAATATTGGAGTTTAAAAAAAATATTAATGATCTTTAATAGGCGAACAATATAGAATAAAGAGTGTCAGTCAAGAATATACATTTATGTAAGCACGTCTATAAATTAGAAACGAAATCCAAAAACATTGTGTGTTCGTAACAAAGGAAAAAGAATAATGCAAAGCATAGGGCCGAACAGTTGTATTTACCAACGATTAAAGAGAACAAGAAAAACTTTTTTTTTTTTTGGATAATTCTGATTTTATTACCCAATGCAAAGTTAAGATACAACCAATCAACCAATCAACAACAAAATAAAGAAAACAACCTACACAAAATGATTGGTTATACTATACCCCAAACGCTACAAAGCTGTAAGTTAGTACTATCAAGTCTATTAATATTAGTTCCCCTAAGACGGATTCCAACAACGTCTTTAACCTCCTTTAGCAGGCAGCCGAGCGTTCTACTCCTTCCTTGAAAAATTCTCTGATTTCTTTCCTGCCACAATGTGTAAATAACAACAGTCCATGAAATTTTCAAAATGGTGGTGAGCAAAGACCTCCCTTTCCATAATGAACAAGCCTTTATGACCATTTCATCCCATGATAAGAAAGTGGTATTCATCCCATTAAGTTTCAGAATTGAATTCCAGAGTTCCACTGCCATTGTACATTGTGAAAAGAGATGGTCCCTTGTTTCATAAGAGGTACTGCAATTAACGCAAATACTGTCGGTGTTAATTCCCATTTTAAGAAGTCTGTCTCTTGTAGGCAATTTATTGAGCAGAGCCATCCAAGCTATTAAGCTGAACTTAGGGATATGCGATGGGAACCAAATGAGTTTGTGCCATATAACAGTCTGCCCTTTGCAACGAATCAAGTCCCAAATTTCCGTAGCTTGCGGAGAACCTGTGGAAAGTAATGGAAGAGCTTCAGCTCTTGATTTTAAGATCCTGTTGATGCTCCAACTTAAGTTAGCTGCTGCTTGATAGTGCCAAAAATCTTGCTCCTTAAAAACATAAGCCTTAAGCCAAGCAACCCATAGGGATCCGTCTCCTGCTAAAATTTTTCGGATGAGGATAATGAGACAAGCTTTGTTCCAGGTTTTAGTGTTCTTCAATCCGAGGCCACCCTCTGATTTGGAAATACAAATTTTATCCCAACTCACACGAGCACCAGCAGCAGAAATATCTGCTCCTTTCCAGAAGTACCTAGAACAAATCTGGTCCACTTTTTTAAGAATAGAAGCTGGTAGAACAAGTTGTCTGCACCAGTAGTTGCTGACATTGAATAAGACAAATCAGTCAAGAAAAACTTTAGACACACATAAAATAACTAAAAACTATAGTTTGGACACCTATTCATATGAGGGATCAAATACAAGATTAATAAACTTTTATAAAATATTTATCCCTCCATCAATAATTATTCATTAAAATATTTTTAAATATATATTTTTTGAAAAATATTTTATATATGTTGAAAGTCAAAACAACAAATTGGAAGCATTAATGGGGTGGCAGCCGGCGGCTAATTAAATTCAAAGTTGGCTATAATTTTGGTTGAAATTCATGGATGGTAAAACTACACATTTAGTCATTGTACTTTTAGGGTATTTACAAGACTAGTCCTTAAGCTTCAACTATAAATACCCTAGCTCATTTAGCTTCAAAACCATCCCAAAACATTCTAGCTTTCTTCCAATACTGAGAGAATTTAGAGAGTTTCTTGAGAGTTGTTTTCTCCTTTTTATCAAGAGAGAATTATCATTGTTTTCTCCTTGGTCGATCGAGAGAAGTTGTAATTCCTATTTTCTCATAGTGAAATTATTCTACCGTTGCCCGTGGTTTTTACCATATATTATTTAGGGGTTTTCCACGTAAAGTTTGTGTCTCTTTTATCCTCATTTTTATTTTCTCAAATTATCAGTTGCGATTTTGCTCTATCCGATAGCCGTCTTCTGCAACAATTGGTATCCGAGCTAGATTTGAGTGTGTAATATCTGCTTATTGTCTTTGTGGTTGCCACCAAAAGGTGGATCCTCCAACATAAGAAAGTAAGAAGGTATTACTCATTCTTTGAAGGTTCCAGATAACTATTCACGATAGTGAAATAGTGAGAGCTATCTGTATTTGAAGCTATGACAACGAAATTTGATATTGAAAAATTCAATGGGAGGAATTTCTCATTGTGGAAATTGAAAATGAAGGTCATCCTGAGGAAAGACGATTGTCTATCAGCTATCAGTGAAAGGCCGGTGGATTTCGCAGATGACAACAAATGGATCGAAATGGACGGGAATGCTATAGAAAACTTTCATATAACATTAGCAGATGAAGTATTGTCAAGCATCAGGGAGAAGAAGACAACTAAGGAGATATGGGATCATCTCACCAAATTGTACAAGGCCACATCGCTGCACAATAAAATTTTCCTTAAGAGGAAATTGTACACTTTCCGTATATCAGAATCTACTTCAGTGACGGAGCACTTAAACACACTGAACACGTTATTTTCTCAGCTTACATCCTTAAGATGTACAATAGTAGAACAAGAACGTGCTGAACTTCTACTTCAAAGTCTATCTGATTCGTATGATCAACTCATCATCAACTTGACAAACAGTAATGTCACCAGTCTAGTCTTTGATGACATTGTAGCTGTTGTTCTCTAAGAAGAAAATCGGCGCATGAACAAGGAAGACAAACAAGTAAATCTCAACAAGCAGAAGCGTTGACAACGATAAGAGGGAGATCAACAGAACGTGGCCAAAGTAGCAGTCACAAACATGGTAGATCGAAGTCGAGAAGCAAGAAGAATTTAAAATGCTACAACTGTGGAAAGAATGGTCACTTGAAGAAGGATTGTTGGAGTATAAATAAAAACTTCAATCCACAAGGCAATACCGCAAACACTTCAGATGATGGAGATGCTCTATGCTGTGAAGCGTCAATCACCGTGGAAGGTATAAAGACATATGCATATATATGGCTCATTGATTCAGGAGCAACATATCACATGACCTCAAGAAGAGAATGGTTCTATCATTATGAACCTGTCTCAAGAGGATCTGTGTATAGTTGTAATGATCATGCCTTAGAGATCGTTGGCGTGGGAACCATCAAATTGAAGATATATGATGGAACAATTAAAGTTGTTCGAGATGTGTGGCACGTGAAAGGCCTGAAGAAAAATTTATTATCCTACGGATTATTAGATAATAATGCAAGCAAGATTGAAACACAAAAAAGAATCACGAAGGTGTTCCGTGGAGCGCTTGTGGTGCTGAAAGGCGAAAAGATAGCAGTAAACTTGTACATGCTAAAGGGGGAGACTTTGCTAGAAGCAGAAGCCTCTGTTGTCTTATGTAGTTCATATTCTGCAATGATATGGTATCAGAAACTTGGACACATGTCAGAACAAGGAATGAAAGTCTTTGTAGAGCAAAAGCTACTTCCAGGCTTAACAAAGGTATCACTTACTTTGTGTGAGCATTGCATAACAAGTAAACAGCACCGGTTGAAATTTAACACATCAAATTCTAGAGGCAAAAGTGTTCTAGAATTGGTTCACTCTGACGTATGGCAAGCACCAGTTACATCCCTATGCGGAGCAAAATATTTTGTCTCATTTATTGATGATTACTCCAGGAGATGTTGGGTGTACCCTATGAAGAAGAAGTCAGATGTGTTTTCCACTTTCAAAAACTTCAAAGCGCGGGTGGAACTTGATTCTAGAAATAAGATCAAGTGTTTCATAACAGATAATGGAGGAGAATACACAAGAGAAGAATTTGATGACTTTTGCAGGAAAGAAGGCATCAAAAGATAGTTCACAATGGCGAACACTCCTCAACAAAATGGAGTGGCAGAGCGGATGAACAGAACATTATTAGAAAGAACAAGAGAAATGTTTAGGGATGCAGTCATTCTGAGCAGAAGCAGTCAATACCGCCTGTTATTTGGTGAATCAAGCTCCATCAATTGCAATAGAGTTGAAGACACCAATGGACATATGGACTGGAAAACCAACTGATTATTCAAACCTCTATGTATTTGGAAGTATAGTGTACGTGATGTACGACTCCCAATAAATTTCAAAGCTAGATCCAAAATCCATGAAATGCAAATTCTTGGGGTATGCTGATAGTGTAAAGGGGTATCGCTTGTGGGATCTCACTGCCTACAAAGTGATCATCAACAGGGATGTTATCTTTGTAGAAGATAAGCTACAAAGAAAAGAAAATGATGATAACGCTGAAAAGTCAGAGACTACACAGATACATGTGGAAAAGGAGTTTGAACAAGGAGATCTTCTAAAGCAGAACCAATACATGATGAACAAGAACTAGAGAGTTCTGAAGCTCCAACAACTTTTCAATCAGATCGTGTGAGAAGACGTCCCAATTGACACTCAGATTATGTTATAGAAGGTAATATTGCATACTGCCTTTTAATAGAGGACGGTGAGCCACCAACATACCAGGAGGCAATAAACAGCTCAGATGGTTCACTATGGATGATGGCGATGCAAGAAGAAATTGAAACCCTTTATAAAAATAATACATAAGACCTTGTGCCACTACCACAAGGAAGGAAGCCAATTGGTAAAAAATGGGTCTTCAAAATCAAGCGAAATGGTGACGATCAAGTTGAGAGGTATCGTGCAAGACTGGTGGTCAAAGGATATGCTAAAAAAGAATGTATTGATTTCAATGAAATATTTTCTCCTGTGGTTCGACTAACAACAGTTCGAGTAGTTTTGGCAATGTGTGCTACATTGAACTTACATCTAGAGCAGCTAGATGTTAAAAAAGCTTTTATTCATGAAAATCTTGAAGAAGAGATTTACATGCTCCAACCTGAAGGTTTTGAAGAAAAAGAAAAGAAGAACTTGGTTTGCAGGTTGAGCAAATCTCTGTACGGTCTAAAGCAGGCGCCGAGGTGTTGGTATAAGAGATTTGATTCCCTCATTATGTGCCTTGGATACAACAGACTTAATGCAGACCCTTGTGCTTATTTCAAGAGGTCTGGTGATAACAATTTTGTTATTTTGGTGTTGTATGCGGATGATATGTTGGTTGTAGGACCCAACAAAGATCATATTGAAGAATTGAAGGAACAACTGGCTAGGGAATTTGAAATGAAGGACTTGGGATCAGCAAACAAGATTCTAGAGATGCAAATTCACCGAGACAGAAGTAATAGGAAGATTTGACTTTCACAAAAGAATACTTGAAGAAGATCTTGTCAAGATTCAACATGTAAGATTGTAAGCCAATTTATACCCTTATTCCTATTAACTTCAAATTATCCTCCAGTATGAGTCCTAGCAGTGTAGAAGAGAGGATAGAGATGTCTCGAGTACCATATACATCAGCAGTGGGAAGTTTAATGTTCGCTATGATATGCACAAGACCAGACATTGCACAAGCAGTGGGAGTGGTTAGTTAGTACATGGCGAATCCAGGCAAAGAGTATTGGAATACAATAAAGAGGATCCTGAGATATATCAAAGGGACCTCAAATATTTCATTATGTTACGGAGGATCAAACTTACTAATCAATGGGTATGTAGATTCTGACTATGAAGGGGATTTGGATAAAAACAAATCTACTACAGGATATGTGTTCAAAATTGCTGGTGGAGCTGTAAGCTGGGTTTCAAAATTGCAGTCAGTTGTGGCTACATCCACAACAGAAGCAAAATATGTAGCAGCTACACAAGCCAGTAAAGAACCAATTTGGTTGAAGATGCTATTGGAGGAGCTTGGGCACAATCAAGAGTATGTCTCTCTGTTTTGTGACAGTCAAAGCACCTTGCATCTAGCAAGGAATCCAGCATTTCATTCAAGGACAAAACACATACGAGTTCAATACCATTTCATTCGTGAAAAGGTAGAAGAAGGGACGGTAGATATGCAGAAGATCCATACCAAAGACAGCATAACAGATTTCATGATGAATGCGATCAATGCTGATAAATTTACTTGGTGTTGTTCCTCTTGTGGCCTGTCAGAAACGTAAGCAACATGAAGGTACCAGGTAGAAAGAATGGTGTGAAGATATGATTGTTCCAATTAAATCTTCAAGTGGGAGATTGTTGAAAGTCAAAACAGCAAATTGGAAGCATTAATGGGGTGGCAGTCGGCGGCTAATTAAATTCAAAGTTGGCTGCAATTTTGGTTGAAATTCATGGATGGTAAAACTACACATTTAGTCATTGTACTTTTAGGGTATTTACAAGACTAGTCCTTAAGCTTCAACTATAAATACTCTAGTTCATTTAGCTTTAAAACCATCCTAAACCATTCTAGCTTTCTTCCAATACTAGAGAGAATTTAGAGAGTTTCTTGAGAGTTGTTTTCTCATTTTTTATTAAGAGAGAATTATCATTGTTTTCTCCTTGATCGATCGAGAGAAGTTGTAATTCCTATTTTCTCATAGTGAAATTCTTCTACCATTGCCCGTGGTTTTTACCCTATATTATTTAGGGGGTTTTCACGTAAATTTTGTCTCTCTTTTATCCTCATTTTTATTTTCTCAAATTATCAGTTGCGATTTTACTCTATCCGATAGTCGTCTTCCGCAACAATATATCCATATAGTAGTTATGTAAAATCTAACACACTGTTAAATATTAAAATATATTAAAGGATAATTAGTAATTAGGCATGCTCAGCTTAGTTTATGTACCTAATTTACTCGTAGCGTATAAGCAGATTATTTATTTCAATTAACTGAATTAAGATATCATCCATTCTTCGTCAGTCTCACACTTGATTTGGTATGGAAGTTATGACGTCTAATTACGGGTGTGTTACGGATGCATAACTTCTTCTTTTCATTTATTTATTTGTTTTAGAAAGAGATAAGAGTTAATTTTATTTGTTTTTATATAATTATTAATTAATCTGGATCCAATACTACAGAGATAAGAACGACTCACTCAACTTAATTTAAAAATATCAGAATTTAATCTCTTAATCTTTAATAGTTGAAGGTAGTTAATCAGAATTAGAGTGTTTTTAAGTAAAAACTAGCAAAAGATTACACGAATAAAAAAATGAGGTTTGCCCTTGTTTTGTGTTTGGGGCCGAGAATCCTATATAGTTGGTTAAAGCCGATAGATGCGACGAAATGGACATCTTGTTAGATGGTGACGATTATTATTGTATAAAGTTTGAATTAAATTTGCCTTAAACCAATAGGAGGGGACCCCATTTGCCCTTTGATTGTCTACCCAAAATTTGGGATAAAAAATGTATTAACTAACAATTAGGCTTCCAAGAAACTACTTCAAATAAATCATAAAGGATGGAATGTATTTCTTTTTTTCTCGGGAAAATACTTGTTTAATTATTATCAAATCTCTTCACAATGCTATTACACAATCAAACTAAAAACCCAAAGCATTTTTTCCTATGTTCTTGAATTAGTATGAATCACCCAATGTTGACCGTCTGTCTTGATCCTGAGGTTATTCATTTTTGCAAACAAATTTACCGCCCTTCTTACTCCGCGGTTATCCGCCGCAGTAAAATAATCGTGGCCAAAGATTACCCCACCGGGTCTCAACAGCCGGTACGCCCGGTTAATATCTCCCCAAGCGGATATGAAATCATGACCCGCATCGATCTCTATTAAATCCGCCCTTATCCCCCACTCGCATAACTTCTCCAGACCCGAACCCGTTGAGAACGGAACGGGTAAAAGCGACCCGGTCGCATTGAAATAAACCACATTCTGCAGGAACTGCTGAAGCAACAGAACGTCGCCGTTTATCATGTTGATGTCCTTAAAACGGTCTCTGAAACCCGGCCATCCACGGAAGTCGTCGAGGCAGAGTATCTGAGTTTTGAGGCCGAGTTTAAGAGTCACGTTGACCATGTGGAGAGCTGACGCACCCAAGAAAGTCCCGACTTCGATGATAACTCGGGGTTTGACTCGTTCGATCAAGTGTTCGAAAACGGCGCCGTTGGAGCCCCAGCCTTTGATTCTTTTCCCCCTTAGGAAGGCTCGAAGGTAGGGTGGCGGAAAATTCGTGTAAGGGGAGGTGTTATTGAATACTCGATCGAGTATCGTTGGGAAGACGAGGTGGGGAGGGACGGGTGGGTTGGAGCACTGAGCGGTGACTCGGAAGCTGTCGAGTAGGGAAACTGGAAGAGGAGGAGGAGGAGTTAGTTGGGGAAGTTGCTGCTGCTGTTGCAGAGTAGGAGAGGAGTGAGAGAGATAACCCATGGCGTAGCTGAACAAGACGAGGATAACGTAGGCGGTGGTGTGAGTGAAGAGCTTGGTGATGGAAAGACTGCTTCTTTGGCGGGTATGGAGGTGAAGAGAGCGTTGTTGATCATCTTTCATGGTGGTTTTCTTGGTCGAGTCTTGAACAGAGAAAAACAGAGTTTTGATATGCCTTTAATTTCCAGGTTGACGCCAATGGAACGCCAATTCTTGGTTGTTTAAGAAGGGCGAATTACCTTTTGAAAGAATAGAGGTAAAAAGCGCAAACTACTCCCTGAGGCCACTAAACCATTTACTTGATTATATTTTGACTATTAAGCTAAAACTTTTATCAATTAGATCACTAAACTTTCAATTTGGTTTTAATCAAGCCATAAACCATTAATTGTTAACTGAATTTATGACACATCAGTTAAGTAATTTTCTACAAAAACATGTGTTCATCATTATTTATACATTTTATTAATTTAGTTTTAACTTTAATCATCCAATAAGATGACGCTAATTTAGAAATGACCGTCATAAAATTTTAAATTCAAGTGTACATTTTAAAATAAAGTTATAACAAGGGTCTTCTTCATGTGAACATCGAAAATTATTTCACTTGAATTTTGTTATCCTTTTCCTAGAAGTAAATCTAAAGCAGTATCATCTTATTTAAGGAATAAATTTGTTGACTTAATTCTAATTAAAAATTAAAATCAAATTAATAGAATACATAAGTAATGATGATCAAATGTATTATTATATAAATTAGCTTAACTGCTATGTCATCACTTTCATTAACAATTAATAACACGTGGTTTGATTGAAACTAAAACGAAAGTTTAGTGACCTAATTGATCAATTTTTTAGTTTGGTTTCAAAATAGAATCAAACCAATAATTTGACGACGCTAGGGATAATTTACCCAAAAAGAAAAAAACCAAGGAAAAAGTAGAAAGTAAAGGAGATTAGTAACATTCATCCATGAAAAAGAACTGAAGTTATTATCTATGCCAATTATTAATATGATGGTTTGTTGTATTTTAATTATATGGATGCGTGGATTGTATTTTCAGTTTTATTTATATTTTTCTCGAATACAAAATTTTAAAACTATAACGTTAATAATTATTGTGAAATGTGTATTATTCTATTTGATTTGATAAATTAAGTTTATTATTTTATTTAGATGATTAGTATTAAATAAATAGGTGGGGACAAGGGTTGTTTAGAAAAATGATTGTGGTAAAGGGTGAGAAAAGTTGCGTGTTTACCACACGAATTGGAATTAGATGTTGGAAAAAGACCGGAAAAGATCGTGCACTTGAAGGTTCAAAGAATAAAATATTGAATCCTTGCCATTTTATTTTCAATGGCTGAGGGATGACTCGTAAAAATATATTTCGTTTCATTTAAAATAAACCATATATAATTGTTCATAACAAACCATTATGAAAGCTAAAGAAAGACATACAAAAACAGTAAAGATAGTAAACCATACGATATTTCAACTAGGACGCTTGTCTCCCCACCAAATGTCATAAAGTTCGATGTGTATCCTTAAATTAAAAAGTATATTGCTTGAAATGATAGAGTTCTTACTATTAGAGATAAACCCAAGATTTTATGGTAAAAAATAGATTTATAAAATTTTAGAGATAAATTTTATGAAATTTTAAGAGATATCGAAAATAAATCGTTAATAAAAGATACAAAAAAAGATATCTAAGCTATACAAAAATTTGAAATTTTCAAAGACAACCTCTCCCATCACTCTAGCCTCCTCGGTCCATCCCTTTCTACAACCTTGGCAAAAACCTACATCCATAATTATATGGAGAAATTATGTTTATTGATCTCTTTGAAGACTGAATTTAAGGAATTAGAAGCAAATCGAAATTTACCACGATATGGCTGTTGGAGTTTTGACGATCTCCATAACACCTTTTGCTTGTAGATGCAGCATTTTTCAAGCCAAATTACAACTTAAAATAGTATTCAAATAATCTCTGACTTCTTTCCTGTCTAAAGATTTACATATCCAAATAAAAAATATGAAAAAAATAGTTGATGAATTAAACTAACCTTAGAGAAGTCGGTGTCTTTCCACAAAGTTCGGCGCCATTTATTTTATCTACTTAATACAAATTTAATATCTTCCCAACTCGGATCATTAAAAGGCAAGTAAAGGTGCACAGTTGATGAACATGTCCTTCACTTTGAAACAATAGAGATGGGCACACCACTATCTTAGCCTCATCTCATGGATCTCTATTTGTAAATAAGCTCAACTGCTTCCACCACCTTTAATTGGTCTCTCACGGTAGGTTCCACTTTCACAACCATGACCATGATTTACCCAGCTTGTTTTAGCACAAACTTTACCATAAAGCTTTAATTGGGATCATAATTCAGATACACGCAGCAAGCTTTAAATGTTATTACAAAACCACATTCATGGAGGTAGACACCACAAGCTTTAAGCTTTCCTCCTTTTACAACTAAAACTGTCCTTGTCTAACTAGCTCTTTTTGATTCATTGGTATGCCAAGAACCCCAAGATTAGCACCGGCTTCAGCGCCCCCTTGCTAGTTGCCACCACGCCCATCATTTGGGCCCGAAGCTGAAGAGGGACCGCCACTGCTGCTACCTCCAATATTAGCCTCCGTTTGAATGGCATGCATGCCATTATTGGGTCCTCCAGGTCTGATTCCCATTTGAGCTTGCATGGCTTGTTGATGCTGCAGGTGTAGCTGCTGCTGCTGTGCATCCTGCATTTGATGCTGGTTGTTGAATTGAAACGGCATCTTCTGGGGGAACATACCGGACTGCTGCGCCATTGTGGCAGCCTGAGGATGTTGCATAAAATATCCTCCTGGTTGCGTTGCAGGATGTGGCGCCATCTGCAATTGTTTGCAAACATGTAAGCCAGTAGGGTAACAGCAGATAGCTAGAAGAAATAATTTAAGTTTAAGACTAACTTGCGGAGGCATTGTGGGTGTTGTTTGTGGTTGTGCATCCGCAATTGCAGCTAAGTACATCAAATTCTTTTGCAGCTGAGCTTGATACCTAAATCATCAAATCTTAGATATATTTGCTGCCTAAATGTCATACATGTAATCAAATGTGCTAGTGTGAATATGCAAAACCAAACACATATACAGGGAAAAAACGACGGTCGTTTTATAGGGAGTAATAAGAATATACAACAATTCACAGTATTAACATTTAAATATATTGTCCCAATTTCCAAGCTTTATAGGTTGATAATCCTCCTCTCTGGCTTCTAAAAGTCACCACTTCGGTATCATCTTGATTGAAACTAAGCTAAATGAATACATGGAAGGGGAGTGGAGATCAGGGAAGTGGAACCTCACTGCATCAGCTGTAACACCATTCATATGCTAATGACCAACAAACATTGGATATGCAAGTCATATAAATAAAAAATTCCATCACGTATCCTTAATAACATGTTCACAACAGAAAGTTGTAGCTTCTGCTAACCAGATATTATTGAATTATGCAAGGACCAAAAGCAGACAAGTAACCCACAAAACTAGTTGAGAGCAAATAACGATGAATGCACCACCAAGACAACTAGAAAAAAAAATTATAAATTACTTACTGGGCACATTCATCGAGTTTTCCTAGATTCTGATTGTCCAAAATTGCCAAGATCAACTTCTTGTTCTCATCAAGGTACTGCAATAAGAATGGGAAAGAGAAAACCACAAGAACAAGTTAATATCTCTACTATCACATTGAATTCCTTAGCATCAAGTGACAAAAACAGTCAATATGCCCAACAGATAATTATTTGGGGCAGAGATATATATGGACTTCTCTAAAGCAGTTTACTGAAAGTTTGTATGTCAACCAAACTACTTAAATTTGTTCAGGTTTTTCTGAATCTTGAATTTTTGAAAAGGACCTTAACCTAGGAAATGATAGCCCATTCAATAGGAAGTTCAAGCATAAAAAAGGATACTACAGTCTCAAGGGTATAGAGCCGTCCAAATGTATTCCCTTCGATAGAACAAATGCTGGCTTTTAAGCTTTTAGGTCGGGCCAAAACAGACATAGTGATCATCCATGAGAATTAGCATATAAAGCTCACATCTTAGACGCTTCTAAAATTTAGCCAACAGCTTTACTAAATCACACACCAACCTTGTATCAAATATCTATTAGACTTTCTTGAAATGGAACGCAATATCAATACATTCTTTAATGATATCAGTGTTTTAAGATTTACAGCACAATAATGCTTTTCCTTGAAAGGAATATTGCCCTTCAAGGATTGGAACAGATGATTCAAAGTGTAACATGAAGATATCATCTACTACCCACCCTATCTTGATCTAAACTAAAGAATTTCTATAAGTGGGATGAAAATGAACATAACTAGTGAGGCGTAAGCATACACGAATTGCTTTTAATTAGTTTAACTCAAGCAATGACAGGATGAAAGCAACTTAAACGGTTTTAAGAAATCAGCCTTATGGGCCTTTTATTAGGAAGGCACTATTCGAGCTTCTGCTGCAACAGACATGTCTTTGGAACCATGTAGACAGCTTAATTACTGAAAGTATCAATATGCTAGCGAACTTTCAAGCAGATCAACCAATTTTTGTTTTCATATCAAAATATTCCAAATAAGATGTTTAAACTACATTAATGATTTTTTTGGCAACATTGCAGATAAATTCCAAAGATGTTATTTGGAGACTTAGATAAACTTGAACAGATGTTAAAAGGCTGCTTTTAGTTTATTTGCACACTTCGTAAAAGACAGAATCCAAAGGCGGAAAATGATTCAGGAGACAAAATGGAGAGAACCAAATTGACACGAGAAATCAGGCTGTTGTTTCTCCCCAGCATCAAGCACAATCACTAGACGTGCCTGATGGATCTCACCTTTCAATATGGCATAAGTTTCTTGCTTGTGACAACTGATTCTAAAACGCAGACAGAAAACCAAATTAAGAAACCACATCGTATCCGACAAAAAAAATATTAAGATCAGGTACCCGACATGACTAACAACTTCCCATTTAATCAACCACATCGTTCGCCAAAAAAAGAATAATTAGATCCCCAACAACTTCAAATTTTATCAACCACATCGTACACGACAAAAAGAACAATTGGATCTCCAACATGACAACAACTTCCAATTGAATCAGCCACATCGAATGCAACAAAAAGAATAATAGATCCCTGGCATCAGCTATAGCTTCCATTCACCTCTCTTTGCTATCCATCATTGTTACCATAACTTCTTAAACCAACATCAAATAACCCTTACCTTTCCACAATCATTGTTCTGTTCCGATAACAATTAATAGGCGCAAACAATTCATGGAAGCAAAACTATTCCATCTCATAATCGTAGTAATCATAAACATCCATGAAAACTAGATGAACCTAACTCTCAGCAACGCCGTAACTTATAAGTACTAGCAGTACTAAACGCAGTATATCTATTAATGTAAATACATGTATACCTTCTGAACCTGTTCAGTAGTGATGTTGTTAGGTGGGAATGAAGGCAGCGTAGGAATCATTTGCGGTGGCTGCTGCATCTTGTGTAAGATTAACTTTTCTCCAAGAAGAAACCCTAACCCTAATCACCTGCAAAAATATCCTGCAAACCCCCCCCCCCCAAAAAAACCAAGTTGAATATCCCCAAATATTAAACAGTGTGAAAAGAAATAAAGGGTATTTACTATTTCTTAGGTTTTTGTTTTACCATGGTGAGTGTGAACGAGTTTCTCTACTACCTTCTTTAATGTCTGAAGAGGGATTTCACTTTCACTAGGTAGCGATGATGATGATTCTGGAACTTAAGAGGGTAGAAGTGCACGTTACAAGGAACTGAAAGAGGAAATTATAAACAAAAAAAGTTTGTAACCGAAGAGAAGAAAAAGAATCAAAAGACGTGAGGTTTAGGTGTGTCGGGTTAAGACAAAAACCTCAGGCTTTAGTTGTTAGTTTATTGGGTTTTTGCAAGGCCGCTTACGTCAATTTGTTTTATTATTTTTGGATAAATTCATGTTTAGTACATAAACTATTACTTTTATTCAGTTTTAGTATCTAAAGTTTATTTTTTTTCATAATTATATTTAACGTTTAGTTTAAATTTTATTTTGGTATTCGGTTATTAAAATTTTAATAATAATATTGATGTGTTATCATAAAATGATATCATATTATTAATAAAAAATATAACGTTAATAGTTTTATTAATTTTTTAATGGTAAGTGTTAAATAAAACTTAAAATAAATATTAGTTATTTTTTAAGTTTAAATACTAAAATCGAACAAATATAATAATTTAGATTTTGAAGGTATAGTTAGCCTTTTTATTTAGGTCTTCACTTTCATCAGCTTTGACTGTAACTCCCATTTTTCTTTTTCTTTTTCTTTTTAAAAATATAAATAAAATGATGGATTTTAGTGTTAATATTCGTTTTTTCTTCCTAAAATTAACTGTATATGATCATTTTAGGTGTTGTTTGATAACTTTAATTTTAAGTTTTGAATTTTTAATATTATTTTTTTAAAAATTTGTATATAATCAAAAAATTAACTATGAAAAATAAGATCTTGAACTCGTATATTTATAGGTGGAGGCAGGAATCAATTCCACAAAATTATATAATTATTTCTGTAAGATCTTTCAGTTTAGTTGAGACCAAAGGGTTAAATTCAAATTTTGAGTAAAATAATTTCTTAATTAAAAAATAATAATAGTTAATTGGTGTTTCCCACCTCTATAACGCATGTGTGAGGTATCCTATCCGATCAGTATCCGCTAATGATGTATGTGGGAACATTACTCAAAAGAATAAGTAATAATATTGCATAAATATTATAAAAAATTAAAATATTTATATAATCATTCATCTCTGTATATTTTTATATTAGAGAATAAATTTATAAAATTTAAAAAAAAAATTAAAAATTTTAAAAAAAATAAAATTTATAAAATTTTAAAAGAAAAAAATTAATTAAAAATTTAAAATATATAAAAATTTAAATAAATAAAAAAATTGGCTCCACCTATTCCCTACTATCCATTCCTACCGACATGTATATCTTCTCACGATCTTAGAAGACCTAATATATACAATTAATATTTCGAAAACTATGTTCGATTTTTTTAACCGTCTTTTCTATTCCTTCTTGGAGATTTGGTGGTGTTGAGTTTATGCGTCCCTTGATTGCTAGTGTAATGATATGAGCATAAACTCATTTAATACATCTGCATTAAAGTGTCTTGCAGTAATATGAATAAATAGTTCAATGTTTTTCCATTTAATTTCTAACAAGTCAATAAGAATTAAATTGAACATTTACTTAAAAAGTATTTTATAATAATAGTACTAAATAGTTTAGTGTTAATTTATCCATTTTATATTATCACGATACTATTTATAATATTAGTGAATGTAAACAAGAGTTTCTAAGATACTAAAGTCTGAATTAAATAACCAATAATATGTTTGTCTAATTGGATGAGGTATTAGATTTCTTAAACAATATCAAAAGTTCAAAATTTCGTGTTTGTAAATGGAGCAAACTGGATTGGGAAGGTCGTCATTGTCTCTGTAATACCCGATCTGAATTAGTCGATTAATAGATTTGATAGTAGTGATTAATTCAAAAAGTATGAATTCAATAAAAATTTATGTTACGAGGATTAAATTTATAAAATTTTAAAGAAATATAGATTTATAAAATTTTAGTAAAAAAATTATCTAAATATGTAAAAATTCAAATTTTTTTAAGGAGATCGTGGACCATCCCACACGCCCTTCAATGAATGCTTATTTGTTGAACGAACCTCTGTGACAGTTTTTTTAGAAAAAGAAATCACATAGGCAGTACTTTAGGTAGCAAAGTCAACTATTCCAATCTCCAGAAAGCATATAATATGAGTTATTCATTCGTCCGGGGGGTTTATTTTTATTTAATATACAATCTGATTTAGGCAAAACTCAAAGAAAAATTTGCACCACCAAATCAAACTCTAAACTGTGCAATCTGATTGCCAAGTAATTACAACTATCAACCATTCTCAGTAAATTGTATAAAAAATTGTTAATATTTTATATGAAACGGTACTGATACTGCAAACAGGTAAGTCAAAAGGGAGTGCCATTATTGTCAAGTTTATGTCAAGAAGGGAGGCGAAAAACATTATAGAAATTGACAGCCATCACGCAGTTGAAGTAACTAGGTGGATCACCTTTCCCGGTTCATGAATCGAGCCATCGTCTGGTTGGATTACATCCTCGGTACAACCGCAGATATCAGAAGCGAAAATGGCGAACCAGATGACGAGTGGCGTTGTAAACATGATAAGACCAAAGGGTACCATCCAAAGCTGCCTGTTTTCTGGATGATATTCATATTCCCACCATGCCAACAGCAAGCCTCCGCCCAAACTCCCCAGAAACGACCATAAGAAAGCCATGTATGTCTTCACCATCTTCCTTGATTCCTTCGTCTTCCCCTCAACTATCTTTCCTTTCTCAGAATCCATATCAACGAACCTTGAATTCACTTGAAAAAAAAATACAAAGAATCAGCCTCTTAGGTTATATCGATGACAGAGTGACCTAAATGAGGAGATAGTCAACCGATTAAAGACATTGATTGAAGAACCAATCAGTCAAACGGCGTGCCTTTTTATCAATTGTAACCAATAAAAAAAAACGTAAATGAGAAAATGACAGCGTTTCAGCTTTTACCAGGACTCTACTGGTGCATGGATGTATCTGGGGTCGACTTGCATTTTGAAGGAATTCCTTGTTTATTTGACAGGTGGATTGTTTGTTTGCAGGCAGCTGCACATAGATTATATATATATAGCATTATTTTAGTTTTAATAACAAAATGAGAGTTTACTTTGTGATGGATACTAAGGAGGCTGTATTTTAGTGCGGGAAAGAAGATTCTTTTGGTGGCTCTGGTTCTTCCCAGGCCATTGCCAAATATACTTTCTACGAAAGTGAAAGGTATTCTTGATTTGTAATCCAGAAACAAGTTGCAAGTAGGGATGGCAACGGGCCGGGTTCGGGCCGGGTATTGATCCTTCCGTCCCCGTCCCCATTTAAAAAACCGATACCCGTTTCCGTTTAAAAAACTGCGGGAATTTAAACGGGGATCCCCATCGGGTAATCGGGAAAAATCGCTGGGAAACGGGTATCTCCGTTTAGCATAAACGGTTATTTAAACAGGTATCGGGCCGGGTATATATATTTAAATTAAATATATAAATATTAATTTATTTTCGTCCTCGAGTCACCCGCAACTCAAATATTCCTTCTATTCTCGTGCTTTCTTGTCTAGTCCACCTCTGTTGCAGTGCATTCCTTCAATCAAATATTCTTTTTTCTGCATGCTTATTATAATATGCTTGAAGAATGCCGCAATGCCGTCCAGCTTCGTTTTTTTTATCGAAACCGTGGTGGTTGTATCATGTAACTCCACCTCCATGTGAAGTTCCAGCATTAGAAAATTCATGGGAAACTGAAATGATTACTTAAATATGAGTTGTCTCCTGCTGGTAGCTTGGATTTTAGCCATGGGTGAATAAAATAGTGTATGGACCATAATTAATAGGAACAGTGGCTCGTGGGTTTTCAAGTGGGATGGTGTGCCTATTTTAATAGTATTGTGCGTGATGTGCGATTTGTAATTATTTGAAATATATATATTTTTTAATTTAAATTAAATTTATTAATATTATATATATATAAATAATTATTTTTAATATTTATCGGTTCCTGAAAATTCACAAAAGTTTAGGTCATGGCTGGGTCCCTCAATCCATGATCAGACATACCTAAAATTCAACTGAGATTTACATAAGAATTTACATATTGCCCACCAAGAGTGACGGTGATAGGATTCAAACTTGACTTTACAATCTCAAATTCAATCTCAAATTCATAAATCTCAATGCCAACACTCATTGTCATCAAATATGATTTCTTTAATTAGGTATTTTTATTACTTTAATCACTAACACAAGTATTTAATGTCAGTTTAGATTTAATGAAGAGTGCATTTAAAATATGTGGGCCAAATCTTAAGTATCATCTATTTATTGCATGAACTATTTGAATAATGCTCATTGTTATACTCTTACCTAGAGCGGGAGAAGGGAGGACTTTAGGAGAAGGAATTAAATTATTTTTAGTGATTCTAGAACCCATGACCTAAGGAAATATGAGGGAATAAATATAAGCAACTTGACTAATCTTGTTCATATTAAAGCTGATATTTTGTATTCAACTAGATGGTTAAATTGATGAAATGGTGCGATTGAAACGATTTTGATAGCTAAGGGGCTCAGTTGGAATATTCTTGAAGTTTACGTACCAAATTAAAATTCAAACCATAATTTAGGAAAGTATTATGCAATCTACTCCTGAAAACCACATAGGCCCATTTTTTAGAATATTAAATTACTAATTTAACCGGTTGAATATATATTTCACATAATAATAAATATTGAAAATACACAAACATTTATTAGAAATAAATTTTAGTTTTATACAATGAATATATGGAATTTTAATTTACTTTAAAATTTACAAATTAAACACTGAATATCTAATAAATCAATGAAGCTTATCTCAAAGGCCCATCTCTTACCCTATGAATGAATTTATATGATTTAGACTGAAGTGGGTTGAAGCCCAATCAAAATATCTAAAGTCTCGTTTGATTGATACAACTTTTCTTTTTTAGTTTGAAGTTTTTATTATATATAGAGAGAGGATTTGATTGCAGGTAATTTTTTTTTAATTTTATATTATTTAAAAATCGTTATGAAATGAAAATAGATGATTGAATAACGATATTAAGTGAGAATATATTTATTAATAAAACAAATAAAGATATAATTTTAACAATCTATCTACAATTATCCAATGATTTTGAAAAATATAAAATTAAAAGTCTTATAATAAATACAAATAGATCCTAATCCACGTATATATAAGAACTACTTTCAATTAATAACATTATCTGCTTCAATTACTCCTTATTCCATACGTAATTGACCATGAGAAGTCTAAGGAATTCAAACTATTTCACGAATTATATATCTAAAAAGAGATTAAAATTACACGATATTACATATGTATTTATTCTTAAAAATATTTTTAAATCCATCGTTACGTAATTAATCTTTGTACTAGAAGTGAATGTTGAAAAGCTTCCCGAGTTGTCAAGTAAAGCGCGACCCTTAAATTTTGGCAAGCAAAAGGAATTATTGATCTATTGTGGACAGTACAACCAAATTGCTGATGAAATATAATTCATTCGGTTATTTATTATGTATAAATAAAGTAGTTCATAAACGGCACGAATAACACGTGGAAAATACAGAAAATTAAAGAAAGAAAGCAACTAGACCCCAGGACAAAGCAAGGAGGGTAGACCAAATATGTGTGCTGAATATGGCCAAGAATCTCCCCCACTCGATTCATTTTCTGGACACAGTTCATTGTATTTGTCCCACATCGACCCAGAAAACATATCCACTCTACCACATGTTGATATCATTTTTGGTCACGTAAAACCCTGGGAAGCTACGTCGAAAGTAGCAGGTTTCATTTCCGATTTCGATAGTTTTACAAAGAAAATATATTATATGATTATTAATTTATAATGTAATCTCTTTAAGGATAAACCACATTAATGATCACTAACTTTTAGGGTGTTTATACTTGATCACTGAATTTTTAAAATTTATATCGAGTTATTAAACTTTTAATTAGTTTATACTTTGATCACTATAGTTGTGACATATTTACATATCATTTTAAAGGAAAACTGATTTATAAAATCTTAGTATAGTGAAAATAAATTATCAATATATAAATAATCTATTATATAAAATAATTTAAAATTTTTAGAAGAGATAACTATCTCAATCCGCACCTTTGATTCATTCATGTTGATAAATAAGATTTGAAGGGTGATCTTTTTATACATAATTAAAAAGCCGGTACATATACGTAAATACGTAATAAAGCCTCAGAGGGCACGGAATATTTGATATTTCCATAGAAGACAATGGTCGACGTCAGCATACTGTGGATACTCTTTTAATAATTATGAAATATATAACCATTTCACCCCGCTACTTCATCTCTCGCTCGCATTATTTGTCCCACTTTGCCCTCTCTCTCTCGCCACTTCTGCCGCCACACCGGACATTTCAATTGTCTGCAACATCACACAAGAAGAGGGGGGGAGGTCTAACGACCGAGAAAAGATTGAAATCTTGTGATCTGATCGGAAACTAGGACGAAGACGAGAGAATGAGCACGAAGAAGAAGACGTTGCGGCCTAACACCACGAGGACGCGTGTAGGGAAGTACGAGCTTGGCAAAACCTTGGGCGAAGGCAATTTCGCAAAGGTTAAGTTCGCTAAAAATGTTGAGACCAGCGAGTTTGTCGCCATTAAAATCCTCGACCGTAACCAAGTTCTCCGTCACTGGATGGTCGAACAGGTCAAAACACCATCCCCTTTCCTTCCATCTCCTCCATGCACACACAGCATTTAAAAAAAAAATGAAATTCGAAATAGATCTCAATCGGCAGTAAACCTGCGTCTCGCTTGTACTTATTAACAAAATAACTTTCGATTATCGAATCTGGCTTTATAATCAAATTTGTTGTGTTATAATTTTCAAAAGCCTTGAGAATTTTGGTTTTGTATGGAGCAGATAAAAAGAGAAATATCAACAATGAAGCTTATCAAGCATCCCAATGTCATTAAAATATTTGAGGTAAAGCAACTAGTCTCTGCCTTAAAAGGTTTATTCAGTTTAGCATCGCGGATACAATTATTTAATTCAAACTTCTTTTCTTCCAATTTCTAATGCATAGGTTATGGCAAGCAAGGCAAGGATTTATATCGTGATCGAGTTTGTTGATGGAGGCGAGCTTTTCGACAAAATTGTAAGGGTTACCGGCAATTCAATTTCGGAAATTTAGTGAGGAATGATTAAGCTGTTACCCTCAAGGAACCTTGTTCAATCTATATGTATATATGTATTGGGTCGTCGTTTATTGCTTATGGAAGTGAAAGATATTTGATATTTGTAGGCAAAACGCGGGAGACTAAAAGAGGATGAAGCTAGAAGCTATTTTCATCAGCTTATCAATGCTGTTGATTACTGTCACAGTAGAGGCGTCTACCATAGAGATTTGAAGGTTTTTAACTTTTTCCCCATTTAACAAACTGATCAACGAGTACTGCTTTCATTTTCTTTTTTGACTTCGGAATTAATTTTGAGCAGTTTCTTCAGTGTGCAGTGGGTTGTAATTCCTAATTCATATGTATTTATCCAATAATATTTCTACTTTTGCAGCCCGAGAATATTCTTCTGGACTCGCAAGGTGTTCTTAAAATTTCAGATTTCGGATTGAGTGCATTCTCGCAGCAAGTTCGACTAAGCATGTATTGTTGACTAGGATGGATACATGTTTTTTTCTTTCTTATGCTTGACACTTGTGACCATATAATCATAACCTTATGTATTTTTAATCTTTTCTCCAAATTTGTTGATAATATATATATATCTTTTGTCGACAAAATATTAAGTTTTACGGTAAGGGATCAAACCTTTCTGAATAATGATATTTTTTTTGGTTGGGTCAACCTTTTTGATAATGAGTTATAATTATTTATTTTTGAGTATTAGTTTTTACTTTAACAAAAAACTTAATACACTATTTTTAATAAACTTATTAAAAATAGTTTATTACTTGTATTTTTTTCTATCAGTTTGAGCGTTGTTGCACGCTAATTATCATTCCCTCTTAAAGAATTCCTCTGGTCTTCGATCATTAAAGTTATGGAAAAATCCCCAGGAATTTCCAAGAAAAATACTGTCTAAATCGCTAAAGAAGGCCACCAGTCAGTTTGGTTACTCAAGAAAATGCTTGAAACAGTTGGTCAAGGCATTTTAGGTGGCAGTAATATCATAAAATGCCAACTTTCAACGATGGTGGAAAAGAAAGAAAACTCCATGTCTAGTTGTGTAATCTTTTTTTTCTTTTACCTGTTCGTGCTACAGGAGGATGGATTGCTTCACACTGCTTGTGGGAATCCAAATTATGTTGCTCCAGAGGTATATTCACTCATGATTATAGAAAATAATTTAGCTCTGATGCTGCAACCTTTTCTTTTTTCTTTTACTGTGTCATTTGATAATTCTCTTATCAGGTGCTCAAAGATAAAGGTTATGACGGTACATCAGCAGATATTTGGTCTTGTGGAGTTATTCTTTTTGTTCTTATGGCTGGTTATTTGCCTTTGGATGAGCCAAGCCTTATAAACTTGTATAAGAAAGTAGGTACCTCCCAGTTTTGGCTTCTCTTTTTAGATGAGAACGTCACTAAAATTGTTGGTACATCTTGATAAATTTCAGATATGGGGAGCTGATTTCAGCTGTCCTCCATGATTTTCATTTGGTGCAAGGAAATTGATTACACGAATTCTTGATCCAAATCCTCTTACAGTGAGTTCTAAAATCAGTTCGTCGTATGAAACTTTGTGATTGCTTGAAATCTTTGATCTCGGCATAGGTTGATAACACATGCATTTCTATTGAATTTCTGCGTGTTTTTGTCAGCGTATAACCATTCCTGAAATTCTACAAGATGAATGGTTCAAGAAAGGGTACAAGCCACCCCAATTCGAGCAGGAAGAGGATGTAAATCTTGATGACATAGATGCTGTTTTTAATGACTCAACGGTAAGCGATTTTCTATTCTGTCAGTTTTGCTTCTCTGAGGAAAGAGCTCCATTGTAAGCATAATCTCTTACGATCACTTTAGATTGGAATGTGAGTGGATGGAATTTTTTTGTTCAAAACTTTGAACACTGACCCTGTAAACTAGTTAATTTTTCATTTGTGTCCATTTCTTTGGAAACTATCTACCCTAAATGAAAGAATAAATTACATCTCATGCTACTTATTGTTTGTTTATTTGCGGGAACACCTTGTAACAGAAAGGAAAGAGAGACCTGTGTCCATGAATGCTTTTGAGCTTATCTCTAGGTCGCAGAGCTTTAGTCTTGACAAATTGTTTGAGAAGCAAAGTGTAGTATCTAAGATCCCTTTAGCTTTCTCTGTATTATGTTGTGTTAATAATAGGGTTTGAATAATTATCCGTGTTAAATGCTTGTAGCCTGGATCTCCACCTTCCAACTTATAATGTGGAAAATTTTCTCAGCTAACTGTATCTATTTTTGCTTTCTTGGTTTGAATTGAAACTGTAGGGTGCTGTGAAGCTAGAGACCAGTTTTGCTTCCCAATGCCCTCCTAATGAAATTCTTTCGAAAATTGAGGAAGCTGCAAAGCCTCTAGGCTTTAATGTTAACAAGCAAAGCTACAAGGTTTGCTTTATCTGATGCTATGTTGGGCAAGCTAATCCTCTTGCTTATTCAAAACATCTATAGTTCATATAGTTGCAAATTCTGCTCCAACTCTCATGTATATTCACATTGTCACAGATGAAGTTGAAAGGTGACAAAAGTGGGAGAAAGGGCCACCTTTCTGTGGCTACCGAGGTACTGGATTGTTAATAGCCAGTCAAGCACCTTTTTTTAATTTCTGTGGCTACCATTGGTTGAAATGGAAGCGCACATATGTAGAATTTTCTAACTGCCCTTCAAAGGATTTAAGATCTTTAGATTATTCCATATCAAAGAAAAATGTAAACCTCATTGCTCTTTGATCTCAGGTGTTTGAGGTGGCTCCCTGCTTGCATATGGTGGAGCTTCGTAAAACCGGTGGTGACACATTGGAGTTTCACAAGGTATACCTGCACACAACTAGCTTATAACTCTAGCTTTGTTGGTGAGGAAATGTTTTGCATCCCTGCAATTTCAGTAGCCCACTTTAACAAAGATCTTTCTCATCTGCCCCGAATTCCGTGTATAAATTCTTCTTTTAATGACAGTTCTATAAAAACTTTTCGAGTGGACTGAAAGACAGTCTGGAAATCGGAAGAAACTGCCGGAGCGTAAAGGTGATCTCTCTTGCTCCGCACTTCATATTTCGGTCGTAACTACTGAACCATGTTTATTAACTTTGTAATTTGCTTCTGCTGGCCATAACAAAAGCCGTCTTGTTCCGTTTCATTCTTGCTTTAGCCTCGTGAATATACTGTTTGCTTGCGCCGTTGGGAAGATAAAGTGAAGTATATGGCTCAAAACGTGAGGCACAAGGTTCATCGACCCTTGTTTTTCCCTTTTAATTTCCTTAGGGAGTAATCAAATCCATTGAAATTTTACAAACAGGTGCTGTATATTTTTAGGAGAATGATAAAACCAGAAAATGTTGTTTCAAACTTACTCGTTGCCATTTATTTTTGGCGCAATAGTAAAATTTGCCCCTAACACTTGCCTTTTTTTCCCAATGTTGGCTTTAAACTTTTCTTCCCTTCAATTTAACTCTTACGATTTCAATTTTTGTCAAATAAATCTAATTTCAATGTAAAAGATGGTACAGTTGTCAGTTAACAAACTGATGATTTTGGTGATCTAGCATGACACATTTTTTTATTTTATGATATGTTCTTAAGTTAAATTATTAAAAAATAGAACATAAATATTTGTAACACACACACACACACATATATATATATATATATATTAAAAAATCAGAAAATTAGAAAAAAGAATAAAAAAGTTATATAACTTCAAAAAATAATTGATGTATATATTACATGATGTATATGTATGTATGAATAAATAAAGTACAAATTTAGAGACATTTTCGATTAGTGAAAGTATCTCTTATTTTTAAAAAATGAATTAGCAAAAATTCATACGTGAAAAAACTTAAATAATTATTTCTTTTTAATTAAAAATATCCATTTTTTTCATCTATTACTATTTAATGCAAATTTAATCACCATATGCGGTAATGACTTATATGTTAGAAATTAATAGCGAAATACTAATAAACTAAATCTCAACTTGTGCTTTGTATTTATTTTTATAGTGATAATTTTACTTTGAAAAATGTTATTTTATTATATATAAATAATGTAATCGTCTATTAGAATAACATTAGAATAAATTCAATAATTAAATATTCTATGTAAAAACATATTTAATTACAATTTAATTAATTTTTTATATTAAATTCTGATTTGAATTTTTCATGCTGGAACTTTCTGATTTCGATTTTTTATTGAAAATTGTTTCTATTCAAAATTTCAGATTAGGGTTCATGTTCTCTCGCCTCTACTTTTTAGTAAAAATAAAAACAAATGAAAGGGTTTCCTAAAATTTGTAGATCCAACATAGAGGCAGCTCAAATATGAAAATGGCCCAAATTGCATAAAGAAAAAGAGAGCGGTACCCTAAAAGAATTAGGAGAAGGGGAAAAAATGAGCATGTGGACTACATCTCTCGGTGGTTGCGTACCTTACTTTCCTGCCCCCAAACCCATGCGAACCAAACATCAACCTCTCACTCAGTTTCCCATCAACGTCTCGGCCAATTCCCGTTTACGCCGTCGGCCAGCCGCCTCCAACCCCAAGCAAGACGATGGAAAGGAGATAAGTGGGTCAGACGTGCTATGGGCTCTGCAGAGAGCAGCCTCCCAGAAGAAGAAAGCCAACAGGAAGAAGGGTTTTACATTGTCCCAAGTCAGTCACACAGAAAAGGATAGCATTGATTACAGTAGTGTTAGACCCTTGGAGATAAAGAGTGAGTGGAGCCTCAAATTGGATGAACTGGAAAGGCGTCTTCAAGAACAAGAGGAAGACACCGCTTGAATCAATCTTCTCTTTTTGTTTGATTTGGCCTTCAGTCTGTTATTAAAGTTTGGGTTTTCTTTGGGTAGGTGCTGTTGATTCCTGAAATTTGAAATTCCGGTCACCAAATTGCATGATTTTCTTGTGTCGTCTTTTTTCTGTGGTAGTAAGAAATTGGTTAATGTTTGCTCGTAGAACGTGATTTTGGATTCTCCTCTGAATACTCGGTTATAAAAATATTAATCGTGTAATATATAGCTGGATAAAATCCACTTCAGCCATTAAAACAATTGGTTTTCATCTATGTTTACTCGCGATGGTTTTGTCTTACCTGCAGAATTTTATGGTCTTTTACTATGCTCACAAAAGAGAAGACAAGCTGGTAAATATAAAAGAAGAAGAAGAAGCCTGCGCCAAAATTTCAAGTTGAGATTTACCCAAAACCAATCCAATCAGATCATATCCATGAAACAAAGAAACCTACAAGAAAATCGACCTTAAACATGGAATACGGACCGGCGCCTGTATAGACCTTGAAAGCAAAAGCCAACCTTTTTTAAGAATAAAACAATCCACGACGTACAACTAAACATTATTAATTCAACTACCTCTTCTAAAGAGAGAAGGCCTTTTAATGTTTTTATGTGGTGCTCCTGTTTCCCGATTCCGGCACTGTTCTCATTCTTTCTACTATATCAATTTATGCTCCTTGATTTTGGGTTGGTTAAGGAGTCCCCCTAAAACTCATCCAATGTCTCCTGTTTCCGAGAAAAAGCTACATTGCACGAACTAATAGGGTCTGTACCTTCTACTGCGGTTTCCATCAGCACCACCACTATTTCCACCTTGCCCTGCTGCTCCACCCGGACCATTGCTCCTATCAGCTCTTCGAGGACGTGGGGCTGGCATATGCACTCCAGGCTGTTGGCTGCCCAAATTCAACAACAGCAAAATTAGTTGTTGAAAATGTGTTGTTATCTGAATAAAAATATCATAATTTTAACAAAATGAGGCAACCGACTTACAGGACATATCCTATTCGGCCATCTGGTAGAACCATGGGTACCATAGCCATATTTGTTGGCATTGGCCCTCTTCCATATATCACTGGCTGTTAATGTGTATAATTATGCATTAGTTTTCACCAATATATCTGAGAAAAAGAAAATACAAATCAACCCGAGTACCTGCGGAAAACTAGTAGCAGCACCAAATCCAGCACTTGCAGAGCCATATGTAGGAGCTTTGGTAAAACCACCATACCCAGGATGCGGAAGATGGTTTGTATGAAGCCCGGCACTGTAAGGGTATGCTGCATCGGTCTTCTTATCAGCCTGAGGTTTGGCAAGGACAACCTCCAAGACTTGACCTACATTCAAGTCGGTCTAAACATTTTTAGCAGAAAAGCAATGATTATAGCATATCCTGATGAAATAAGTTGATTTAGATAAATCAACTCTCCTGATACCAATGGAAGGTTGCTTTTCCAGATATATTTCATACAACAATACGCTTACAATGACACTGTGATTCTATTAGATCAATAATGAATTAATTTCTCATCTTCATTTGAATGCATAAAGAAAACAGTTGCAAAAGCAGTCTCAAAAACAGCTCACTAAAAATTGATCACTCGAGACACACGGACAAGCAATACGAGTATGGCAACACAGTAATTTCTAAAAGAATGAAGATGCAAGTATGACCGAGCACAACAATAAAAAAATATTGAGATATATAAGTATTATTTTTCATTCTCATACAATCAGTTTCTTCACAAAAATTCTTATCATTAAATTTCGTTTTCCACCGGGAAATGTCAAAATTCAACTATTCAATCCAAAGTTTAAACCAAGAGACCCGATACCAATTCCAAAGGCCCAAATCATTTCAACAGATATTTACAAGCTTGCATTTGATGCAGCATGTTACAGAGCTTATTAAAGTGGAGCTCTTACATCAGACAGAAATGAAAAGTACACAGGATGTTCTACAGACAAAGCAAGGAGTACATAAACTTCTATGCATCTCACAAAAGAGAAAACAAACTAAAAATTGAAGACATGCATCCAACACCATTGTGCACAAGTAAATGGCATGTAGGAACTCAAAAGTAGATTACATGATAGCGCTGCTTTTTTTCCTTAAATAATTTGAAGACAGCTTGAATGACTTAAGCAGCAGCCGGACAAATCTGCCCTAAATTATGTTTACAAAAAGAGTATGGGGTAATGCAAGAGAAAAATTACCATCTATTTCATACTTCTCTGTATCTTTGACAGCCTTCAAAGCACTCGACCTTTCAGCGTAATGTATAAACCCAAAATCCCGCTTACCGGCCTTGCCAGGAGGCATAACCACTTTTGTTACTTCCCCATGGCGCTGAAATACTTCCTTTAGTTTCTCCGTAGAAGTGTTATCGGGAATGTTTTTGACATATAGTGCTTTCACCTAGTAATTTCAAAACATGCAGCATAGTACAAGAACAATAATATGAAGATTAGATCTTTGCTTCACGTCATGCTTAAAACTGAAGATTGCATACATCCAATTATTCGCATTTAGCAACTAAAGATCCAAACAAGAGCTAATTTGGGGGGGGGGGGCAAAATAAGAATCCCAGTAGTGATTCCTCAATATGGAACTTCTAAATTACAATTACCTGCGAAGCAGCAGAATTTTCAGGTGTACTCTTTGGGTCAGCCCATGTGACAGTAGGGTTATTTCCTTCCAGCTTAAAATTTACACTTGCCATTTTCTGCCTTGAATAATCAGCGCACGCATTGTTATAGTACAAGACAAAAGCAAAACCACGATTACGGCTTGTATTTTGAGGGTCCTGCAATTAACAATTTAAAATGGTAAATGGATTTCCAAATATTCACTGATCAGTGACCATAATCTAAAAGCATCATCTAGATCAAAACTCCACCTTTATTAGTTCTATATTTTCAACTCCGGGACCAGCACTCTCGACGGCTTTTCTGAATTCATCCTCAGTCAAGTTCTTGGGAACATTACCGATAAATAATCTGTTCTTAGTTTCAGAGAAAGAACACCTTATAGCTTTACCCTGCAGAGATTATTGTGGATATTAAAAAGGAACACCAAACTAAATGGTTAAAAGAAGCAATGGAGGGGAAGATTGCATCAGCAAGAAAACTAAAGCAAATTCAAGGGAGGCAAAAATTACCCTGAACTCTTTACTGTGCAGCTCTTCAACAGCCTTTTCAGCAGCCTCTTTTGTTTTAAATGCCACAAATGAGTAACCCTTGCTTTCACCAGATTCCTTATCTTTAATCAACCGTATCTGCAAAGTAGATTACTGTTAACAGTTAAACCAAAAATTTACCCTCCCCCCGGCCAAAAAGAAAGGAGCTTGAAAATCACAAGCACAAAATTCCGACCTCAAAAATTTCTCCTATTGGTTCACAAAGTTCCCTCAAGTCTTCTTCTGAGGTATCCTTCGGAAGCCCTCCAATGAAGACCTCAGAGCCATTAGGAGGCAAGGCAAGAAGTTGAGCCCACTTCTCCTTTTCTTCTTCACTAATAGAAGCCATGGGGTTTTCTTCCTCTTCAGTATGTTCCATTTCAATGCGGCTTCTTTCTACTTCCAATGATTGATCTTTTCCATCCGCCTCAGATTTTGAGTCTTCATACTCCTCTTCGTCGTTTTGTTCCCCATTTTCATCATCACCACTGTCCACTCCGTCCTCATCTACATGTTCTTCAACACCATCATCCTCTTCCTCCATGTAATTGTCATCAAGATCCACCCGCTCATCAACTTCTGCATTCTCCGCCATGTCCGTTTCTTGTCCCTGTTCAGACTGTTCGATAACTGCAAATGAAACCTTATTACATATCTATAGTGTTTATAGAAAGCATGTTCAGCTGCATAGCAGAAATATATGAATATTTATAACATTCAAAATTATCTCGGCCCAAAAAATCAAAGGAAAGTTAAAAAAAAAGAATGAACGAATAAACAGGTGAAAAAACTGCGCCAAGGAAGGAAAGAAAGAAGATATGGAATTTGTTACTTCCATTTCTCATCAACCAAATAGAGCTGTAACTGACATTAAACCGAAGAGTAAAAAGAATCAAATTTCCACCAGTAAATTCAAACAGCGAATAGTAACTTATTAGTAAAGAAGCTACGAGGCATCGATTAGTACTAAAATTAACTGAAATTGAAACAAGAGTAAAAGTGGGTTAGCAAATAAACCAATCCCTAATTCACAAAATACCTAAAACCCATAAACAAATTGAAGACAGCTAAAATTCAATGCCAAAATGTAAAACCCTACTTAAGAAAAGGTCACGGCTTTTTATCTTCCCTTAAACACGCATACAAACCATAACAAATTTTGACACTAAACTATTTACAAATAAGTGACAACGACAAAATAGATGTAACTGTGACAAATCTAATCAAGACGAAGGAAAAAGACTAAGAATTCCGGGCAGTCAAAATGACTATAACAGAAAAACAATCACTAAAGAAAAGAGATTGAAATTTCCTCACCACTTGATAAATATATTGACTTTGAGAGCTAAGAAATTTGATGGCTTTATAATTGGGTAATTAAAATTGAATTTCCCAAAATCCAACAAGAATCAGGATATTCAGCTTCAAAGAAAATTTTCTGGGTATTGCATCAGATATCGACAGAAATGGAAAAATACCCAACTTTTAATTGATGGGTTTTATTCTGCTGGGGAAATGGCGATTGAAAATATAGATTTTGTTTGAAAAATTTTGGTTCTCCGGTGGTTAGCCTTGTGAGTTTTATTATCCGACAGAGGCTAATGAGCAGCGTGTGATTCTCTTTTCCAGAACCACCCTAATTGGGAGACTGAAAAGATACACTGCGGTTTCGATTTTACTGGTAAAGTTGGATTTACGAGTCACTTTTAGCCATGTAAGAGCAAAAGGTTTTAAATCTTAAGATAGTAGGATCAAGCCCATAAGGTATTTTATAATTCGGAAGTCTCCTACAGAAGTTATTTTTAATTTAGTGTTAGGGGTATCCTATTATCTTACATCTCCTTATCCCATTACATATGAAAACAAGTGACAGTGATTTTTTTAGCCATGTAACTAGGGAAGGGTAAGATTCCGCTGGGCTTCTATTTTTTTTTTTTGATAATTCATCTTTTTTATTACTCAAAGAATCTGTTATAAAAAATATCGATCTTAAGACATTATATACAGTCTACATACAAAAACAACAGATTTGTTTTTAAGCTATATCCCATGAAATACAAAGATTAGAATTAACTCTATCTAGCCTATTGATGTTTTCCCCCCAAGTTTAATACCTACAAGATCTTTGATGCAAGTTAGGAGGTCTTCGTTGGATAAGGAACATCCTTTAAAAATTCTTCGGTTGCGTTCTTCATACAAAATATAGATATAGACACACCAAGCAAACTTAAGAATAATAGATAGAAGGGAATTTCCTTTCCAAGAGCTGACATTAACAAGTCCTCCCATGATGAGCATGAATTCTTAATGCTATTTAGAAGCAAAATGTTGTCCCATAAAAATGAAGCAGTGGGGCATTCAAAGAACAAGTGATTACTAGATTCCATTGTTTCATTACAAAGCACACGATTCCCATCTGTGGTGATACCCATGCGTTGGAGTCGGTCTCGTGTAGGCAGTCTGTCGAGGATTGCCATCCAAGCAAGCAATCTGTGCTTAAGAATATGTTGAGGGAACCATAACAAGAAATTTCAGGGGACTTTGCCTTCCTTCACTTTAATCTCCTGCCAAATGTCTGTAATAGAAAGAGACCGTTCGAAATTGTTGTAATTGCTCCAGTGCGTAGTTTGAGGATTCGGTTAAAGCTCCAACTGAATCTAGCACTTCTTTCCATGTGCCACGGATTGCTATCCTTTATAACATAGGTGTTGAGCCAAGCGACCCATAATGAACCCTCTCCAGCCAGGATATTCTTTATAAGTTTGATCATGCAAGTTTTATTCCAGGTTTTTAAGTTCTTCAATCCAAGTCCTCCCTCTGATTTTCAATAACAGATTTTGACTCAACTGACTCTTGCACCAGTAGCAGACTTGTCTGAGTCTTTCCAGAAGAACCGAGAGCAAAGCTGTTTAATTTTGCTGATTATAGATTGGGGAAGAAGAAGCTGCTTACACCAGTAATTAGTAATGCTGAACAGAACTACTCTTATGAGTTACAATCTTCCAGCGTAACTCAGATTTTTGCCAGACCAGAGAGTGAGCCTTGCTTTAATATTAGCAATAAGAGAATCACAATCTTTCTTAGAGAGTTTTCTAGTAATCAATAGAATACCGAGGTATCTTACAGGTAAGCATCCTTAATTAAAACTAGTTGCTTGCTTTATAAGCTCAATATTACTGGTTGAAATTCCAGCAGAGAAGAATAAACATTTGACAGCATTTAAATTCATACCATACATTTTATAGAAGTGTTCAAGAACAAAAACGACTCCAATTACATATTCAACATTACCCTTACAAAAGATCAATAAATCATCAGCAAAGGATAAATGTAGGGCTGTAAATGAGACGGGACAGATCGCGAGCTATTCGAGATCGACTCGGTCAAGGCTGGATAAATACTCAGATCGAATGGTCTCGACTCGAGCTCGACTCGAATTCTTAACGAGCCGAAACGAGCTACTTGATACTCGACTCGAAAAGCTCGTGAGCTGCTCGAAAATATAATATATTAAGATTTTATTTTTAAAAATAAATTATTAATAATATTAAAATTTATGTGTTGATTTTTTTAAAAAAAATACATTAAGGTTTTCATGTATTTAAGGTTAATGTTTGAGTTTGAGGCTTTAATCTAGTTAAGTTTAAGATTTTTTTTTTCATTTCGAGCCTTTTCGAGCTGCTCACGAACTTCGGTTCAGGATTTCGAGTTCGTGTCTAGCTTAAAAATTTTAAACTCGCGAGTTTTTTAGTCGGGTTGAGCTTTATTTCAGAGTTTTCGAGTCGAACTCAGCAATACTCGAGCTCGACTCGTCTTGTTTACACCCCTAGATAAGTGTGTGAGCCCAATTTTCTTGCACTAATGATAACTGTATAGACCTTTAGCAGCAGCCAGATTGAGCAATTTAGAAAGGATATTCATAGAAATTACAAAGAGAATAGGTGAAAGATGGTCACCTTGTCTTATACCTCTAGCTTCTTTGAAGTATCCAATTAAGCTCCTATTGAAGGAGATTGAGAATCTAACTTCTGTGAAGCAAACTTCAATCCAATCAATAAATCTTTGGAGAAAATCCAAGGCTTTTAGAACAACAGATAAAAAACCCCAATGAAGAGTGTCAAATGCCTTTTGGAGATATATCTTCAAAGAACATCTTGGAGAGATGATTTTTCTTCCATAACCTTTAACTAGTTCCTGAGTAAGAAGGGTGTTGTCTATAATGCTTCTTCCTTTAATGAAAGCAGTTTGGTTTAGTGAAACCAATCCAGGGATGAGGCATGTCAGTCTCTTGACTAAAATCCAATGTTTTTAAAATCGAACCAGACATTGAACCGGTGAAGATACTGGTTCACTGGTTCAACCGAATTCAATCGCGGTTGAACTTGATTTTATATAAAATAATATATAATTTTTTAATTTTACATAATATTCAAAACAATATTAATATATATGTAATACTTTTTTTAAGTTTACAATATTAAAAGGTATAAAAATATCACAAGTCATAACATATATAAATTAAAAACCATAAAATCAAGTGAAACAAAATGATTCAAATAAACTACAACATAATATTTAAGGTAAAATATATTAAATAATAAATATAATTATATAACTATAATAAAAAAATAAAAATGAGACTTAAAAAAATCATAACAAATGATGTCATTTGGTTTAATTTTTTTTAAGGTTTATTTTTTTTTTAAAAACAATCTCACATGGCTAAGAAACATAGAAGAGCATCCCAAAAGTTTAAAGAGTAACAATATGAGAACAAAACAATCTCACATGGCTAATAAACATAGAAGAACATTACAACTTACTTCTATAAATAATAGAGGTAATTTGACATTCAAAATCATGAAGCATTTTGGTGAGCACAGAGCGAACTATTCTTTCGCTTCAGTTGAGCTCAAATTTTAGGCTTCAATCGAACTTCTAATTTTTTTTGAGTTCGAGCCTTTTCGAGTTCAAGTTTTAATATTATATTTCGAGTTTGAGTTGAACTTGATAATTTTTAGCTCGTGAGTTTTTGAGTCGAGTTGAACTTACTTTTAAAGTTTTCGAATTCGAGTTGAGCTCAACAATACTCGAATTTGACTTGGCTCGTTGAACAAACGATGTTGTTTGGTGTATTTTTTTAAAAAAAGAAAAAAAGTGAATCGGCGGTTCAAACCGGTTTTGCCGGTTTTCAGTTGGTTCACCCCGGTTTTACCGGTTTTCAGCCGGTTCTACCAGTTTTCAACTGGTTCATTACCAGACCGATTTTGTGAGATAACCAGACCGGACAGGCCACCGGTTCATGATTTAACCGATTGAACCAGCTGATCCGATCCAATTTTGATAACCATGCTAAAATCTTGGTTATAGTCTTATAGATTACTGAACATCGGGATATCAGTCTGAAATCTTTAACTTTGCTGGGATTTGAGACTTTAGGGATTAGAGCAAGAGTTGTAGCATTGATGCGCTTCTAATTTTACTGGCAACGTGGGAATCACTTTTGGAAACATATGGTCACGTGGGTATTTTGCTCATTGGTGCAATGAAATTTCAGAAACGCCTTTATTGGGCCGGGCCGATTATCTACCATTG